CATTATACCCTGATTTCCCATTTTCAATGGGTTCAGGGTATAATAATAATAATAGAAGTGTATGTAAAATATATGCACTTAAGATGTCCTCTGAGTTCACCAACTACAATCTTCTTGATATTCGGAACAATAACAACCTCAGCCGAATAACCTCTAGCAATATTGTGTGAGTTCTCAATTAACCCAGAAGTGTCCAAGTTTTTGCAAAGACTTGTTTTCTCTATATATGTATGTAGACATTAAAAAAAAAAAATCCTGGAATTTCCGTATAGTTAAATAGGGGGGCGAAAGGGGCGTATCACAATTTAAGAGAAAAATTCCGAAATTTAAGAAAAATATTAGTAATATAAAAAATAGATTAGGCTTCTAGCTGTATTTTTAGATTTTATGCCGCAAAAATTGACAAATCGTCCAAAGTGCACTGTGGGGCAGACTAGTATCATCCCTCTTACGAATCTAAAATATTAAACATGACTGCATTACAGCGAAAACTCTTTAAATCTCAACTCTCTTAAAACTGCTTAGACCTCCTCGTGGTATACACGTGTACAGATTTAAATTATCAAGACTCTAGCTATAAGTTAAGCCCAAACTAGACTTATGGAAAATACACATACATATATTATATTACACATATTATATATTATTAACAGAACTTACCGGATCCGTCGAGCGTCTTCTTATGCAAATGACATTCACATAGATTGACGATGGTCCGCGAAGACCTTCTTTATCTAGCTCTACCGATAGGACTAGATCTTTCGTCCCTGCCACAATCTGTACGGGCGCATTCTTCTCCCTTAGCGACAGATTAATGTCGCCGGTGTCCGCATTGGGGTCGCCGTTAATACGCAGTTTGCCAATGATGGACCCCACTGGAAGATCTTCGGTAGCCAGGAAGCTCTCAGCCGACCCACCGCCCTCTAAATAGCATCTGGAGTCAAGTATCGCTGCGTTTGCAACTGGAATGAAAATGAAAAAATAAATACATAAATAAAGTGAAAATGTGCAAATCCCATACCACTCTCTCTCTCTCTCTCTCTCCCTTTCTCTCACACACACTGTCTCCCTCTCTCTCGCTAACTCTTTCCCTTTTCAGCTTTACTCTATTTCCTGTTAGCAAGCAATTAGTGAGCTTTAAGTAAATTGTAACAGTGTAACACTGTCCAGCGGCGGACATGTTTGTTCGTACTCTCGATGCGCTCTACTAAGCTTCCGTTTATCTCTCACTCTTTGGCGAACGGTTCGCTGCAATTGGGATGCGGCGGCTGTCTGCCAAACTCAACTTTGTGTTGGAGATCACAAGCTGCCCGTCAACGTGTGTATATGTGCATGCATGTATATACATAAGTATGTGTGAATGTGCTTTGGTCTTGCCCACACAGCGCCATTGTACATATGAATCATAGCATTGAGGATTAAATTACTTCGTCATTGTCTTTCCGGATAGGCCCAAGCATTTAATTGTGTTTAACTGTGTATTCTTATATTGATATTTAATAAATTATACGAATTGCTTCTCTAGCATTTTGGCAGTGCCGCTAGGGAAACGCAAAAATGGATGCAAAAAATAACTGTTAACTGTGAATTGGCATTCGTTGTGCATTAACGTGTTTATCAGCATGCACTATGCACTATGTACATATTCATGTATGTAAATCAGTTGTACAGATACATATATAGATACATATGTGACGAAGATTTAGTATTTGGCTAAGTACTTTAAATATGTACATACCTTAAATTATTATTGAAAATTAATAAACGTCATATAATATAACAAGCTATTACTGATAACTAAAGCTTATGACCATTAAGAGCTGTGCATGTATACACGTGCTACCTTAATTATGCTTAGCACACCCTAATTGCATCAGTTAAATACATACAAATGCTTCCATTTATATGTTTCCATTTGTACATAGATGGTATTACAATTCATTCTTACAAAACTACTATTTTCAAACATACATATATATGTACGTATGTAAGAGGATGGCATAACACTTCTTCATAATGACTAAAGTACAAAAATTAATTAAAATATAAATAGCTGGGCTGCAAAGTGGCTTCCTAAAATGTGTTCCGGTTATGTCTTGGACACCCCTTGCCTTAAGACGAGTTGCTTAGTAAAGCCTACATACATACATACATATGTATGTATTGTTCTTTCGAACAAAAACGAACGGTTCTGGGCACTGGTTTCAAGAGCAAAATGCTAGGGTTCACCAGGTGACCCTGGCGAGAATTTCTCTTTGTAGCATAGCCGTGGACACATCTAAGTGCTGTCGGATGATATACAGTGAGTCAAAAAAGTATACGCATACCATCAATATGATGGTTTCAAACATTGGCTATACGGAAGACTTACACAGGTACATATGTGTTATCATTTCTATAGGTATACGCGATAAACAGTAATGCATAGACATGCATGAATATTAAAAAAAACCTTTCTGAGTCACTGTGCGAACATGCATACGTACAAATGTACATAAAACATAAAAACTGACTGAGATGTGGTGAAATCTTCTAGCATGTTTTTTTAGTCTCGTGCCGTCTTCGTTCCAAGATCTTTATTGTAGGTTAATTGTTATGACATTGTGCAATGCAGATACATATGATAATATCATCAGTAGACTTTCTTTGGCAGTTAAATGTTTTGACAATCCATTTAATTGTTAGCTGAAATTAAATTTGCAAAATCGGTCTTCACAGTTTTCAGATATGCTGAAAAGTCACGTTTAGCAATTCAATTCACTTTCCTAACAAAAAGGAAAGTCAAGTTTATAGATCTCGCATTTATGAAAATACGTGTGCTCTTATTATTGCGATCTACAAATTTGTCATGGAATTTTGAACGAATCGACGGAAAAACAATGCAAGAATGTAAATATTAAGGTAAAACTTTCGTAATATGGATACTCCGACTAGTCATACTTTCCCCAATCGAAAGTCTGAATGTACGTAAATCGTTATACTATTAGAAAACATTTTCTCAAGGCATGTTCTTCATACATAAGAAGTTGCTCTACTTGATAAGAGTATTATGGTTCTTGAAAGATTGATATTCTTGAAGTCTCATAGCTAGAAGCTAACTTTGTACGGCATTTTAAATAAGTGCTTCAAAATGAATAGGTGTATAAATGATTCTTAATGAAAATTAAAATAGGTGAGTTACATTCTTGAATGAATTAAAACATCAAATTTATTATTATTTTTTTTAAATATTTATTTTAATATTAACCAAACTGCACCAGACTAAGACGTTCTTACTAATTTTATTTTTAACAAGTGCCTCGCGAAAATTGCATAACTGCCTTAATTAGTGTTATAGCAAAACTAATTGGGAGTCACCACAAAAACATAAAGTTCAAATATCTGAAGCGTAAATCCGCGAAAGTAGTTGGATGATATTAAGTAGAGACTAAAAACAACACATGAGTAAGCATTACATAAACTTCATATGTTTTGTTTGTTTTCGCAGAGATGGTTAAAATAAACTAACAAATGAAAGTGACTGAAAAATATGAATAAAATAAACAAATTTTAGGCAAGTGTGCGAGAAGCCTCCCATATGAAATATTATGAGGGAGAGAACGATAGAAAGAATGAGAGAGAAGTTGATTGAAAGAGAGGGGCAGGCTTTGCTGCTAGTGAAAGAAACACACTCGGTTAGCTGGGCAGGTAAAACTTTCAAAGTTAAAGAAAAAAATAAATAAAATCAACTTAAAAATAAATAATAATAATAATAATAAAAAAACAAAGTTCAAGCAACAAATTTGTTCAACGTAGTTGTATGCAATCGGTTTTTGTTTTGGTTTTTTTTGAAACATTTTCGTTCAGCTTGATGATTTCCATCATGAAAAATGAAATGTGTTTCGCTCGACGAATATTTGAAAACTGACTTTTGGTTTTCAATGGGCTTTGTGGTTGCAGCTTTTCGGGGCTACAATTGCCAGCAGCAACGGCAATCTCTGATTGCTCTCTGTACGGTTAAACAACATAAGTATACAAAATATGTCGCAATCAATTCTTGTGGCCCAGGTCAAGCCGTCGAACCGGTAAAGAACTGTGACAGCCATGCCATTAAAGTTCCGAATACAATTTCTAGAGATCTGACATACATAGTATATCTGCGTAATCAGTGATGTATGACAATGTAATGAACCGAAATTAAAGCCACTGAAAACTGGAGCAGTACGTAAATATCTTTAGGAATTACCTACTCCACTTCGAGCGGCGTTCCAGAAAAGGAAAACGCCATTTGCATAAGACCCCCTCCCTGAATAGCTCTGGCTACGATTTGCCTATTCGTAAGTCACGTAAATACTTTTATTCGTCATAAATCGTTGGACCAGAACAATGTTGACGTGTTTTGAAGTCTTTACATTTTACATTAACATTTTACTTTGTCTTTTTCTTGTAAAGCTTTTCTCTCATTTATACAGAGCCTGCACGCCGCCATTTAGTTTTGGAATTTTACTATTTTTCAGTTTGTTACTTTTTACTCTTCAGTTTACATTCGACTAATTATTTTGTTTGTTTTCATAATCAGACAGACGTCAAGAAATCAAGAGTAACGCACCCACAACAACTAGTGAAAATGTCAACGAGTTTTGACAGTAAAACTTTCTAGGATATATGTAGCTCAATCAGCTTTTAATTTGCTTACCTTCGGCCAGCCAACAAATGCCACAGATTGCAAAGAAAAGGCATAATTTAATCCACATATTGTGCGCTCTTTTACTTCGGATTGAAATTGTTGTTATATATATGTATATATATATAGATATATTTAATTGATCAAAGCAACATAATGCAGATGGATCAGAGAGGTCTTTCTTTAAATTTGCTCAGCTTGCAATAGAACATAATTTAAGCAATTGAATTTTATTTATTTCTTTTTAACTTGTACTTAATATATATTATTATTATTTTTTTGTTTTCCGTGCTGTATTCGTTTAATATTCTCGCCGTTCACTTTGTTTATTAGCCCTGATTTAGGTAATTTCCAATAGTATATGTATAAACTTTTTCACTTATTCACATAAATTTAGTTTACACATCACACATATGTATATATTGTACATATAGAGTATATTCCATCCGTTTACCATATAAAATTTATGCACAGCTCTGTTCTTATTTGAATGCTTATCTTTTGCACACCTGTAAATATCAGCAAGGCATATGCTATGTTACTATGTCGATGATCCATGCACACATTTACATATATGTATATATGAAATGGGGCTGTAATATGATATGACCTATAAAGAGTGTTCCGGAGGGCTGTGCCTCTGAAGAGACAGAGAGAATTGTCTAGATTATTACAAGATTATTAGCTAGACAAAACGTTTTAGCACAGAAACCAAAGCAACTGGAACATTAGCCGAACTCTCAACCGTTCTTTGTCTTCTGCTGCAAGTGTCGCACACATGTCAACCCTCCTGGTCTTCGTCTTCTCGTTGTTGTTGTTGCTGGAATTTGTAGTATGTTTCTCGTATTCGGTTGCCAGCACACACGGGCTGGTTGGCTTTGTTGCTTGCCAATGCAATTGGCGGCATTTTAGCCAAGAGTCATTTATTGTCTGGTATTTGTTGCTGTTTCCTTGGTTCCGACATAGCCGTAAATATTTCTCTGCGGTATGTACAAGTATTTCTCCATTTGGGAGACTCGACCAGCGCCTACTGCTACAGGAAAAATAGCTAGCATGGACTCAGAGCTGGTAAATATTTGAATTGGGTCATTTTGTCCAGTTTGACTGAAAGCTTACGTACCGCTTGGAAACAGGATAAATCTGACTGAAAAAAAGACAACCTGGCAGCACTGGCAGCACTGGAAGCACTGGAAGCACTGGTTGGCTGGTGTTTTAGCTCCAGATTTATGGCATACCAGGAGACGTCACACACAGCCAAACAAACATTTTTCTATGACCAACGGCACTGGCCAACGGCCAGGTGGTGTGCAGGTTGGCAAGTTGGCGCAAATGAAAACGCTCTTGACCGGAAGTCGCGGAAGCGCACTAAAAAAGTCATTCACCTGTGCAAAACATATTTTGCCAGTGCAGCGGGGTTTATTTTTAAAGGATTTTTGACGCTCATGGATCTAGTTGAGGCGTAATTTCTACTCAGTTTGGATAACAATGAACTTTAGGATATTTAAATTTTGGTGTACTTAAGTAAACCTGTAAAACTTTTTGCGCAATTCAAATAGTTTTCTTTATATTTCATATCTAATAAATGTGGAATAAAACCGAGATATACGAATTTCAGTAAATGCTATAACTTTAAAAAAATCTGATTTACACTTAGGATGCCTTTATGTTATTCACTTTAACGTTAAGCTACTCGTTTTACACATGCGTTCACAAGGCGGTCCAAACACAAACTGATTTTCCATAGTGCTGCCAAAGCCCCTGACAACGGCTGAAGCCAACATTCAACAACAGCAACAGCAACAGCCTGTAATGCCGGTGCGTTTGCCTCAGTTGCTCAGTTGTTGTTGTTGTTGGTCGTATACTCGTCACGTACATATATGAGCAGAAGTCGCGTCTGAAGACTCTCTGGGTCTGGGTTGTATAGTTTGTTACTGCTTTTGCTTTTGCTTTTACTCGCCTTCCCTCCAGTTGTTGCTGCTGTGTTGAAAATGTTTCCACATCACTCGTCAAGCGTTTCCATTTAAGCTCTTCATAAAAAACAACAAAATAAAAACGTAACGAACAACAACAATGGCAAATGTTGGCTAGTAGTGGTTGAAAGCAGATACTATGACTACGCTGGGGACTACGCGCACGCGCCCAAGCTCAAATTGCGACGCTCAATGAATGGGCCAGTCCCACTCAGAAATCCACAAATATAGAAGGCACAAGCTCGCACCTTTTCTCCTTCTCCTACTTCTTTACTACTTGGTCGTTGTCGAATTTAGTGCTCGACAAACCCTTAGGTTTTGGATGCACCTGTAGTATTGGCGTTGCGCTTGGCTGAGCCGGCTTAACTTGAACCCACCCCATTGAGAGCTAGAGAGAGGTGGAACGGACTCTCTCTCTCTTTTATGAGGGAGCGGCAGCCGCTGGCTCTCTGTTTACATTGCAATTTCTCGCCCTGGCAACCGAGGCGTCCTGGCGATTGCGAAGCCGGTTTAAATACCCTCAGCTCATAGAAAGTGGCTAAAAATGGGTATCTTGCTTTGGTTAGCATTTATGCTAGCCGGAGAAGAGGTACATACATACAGCACATACAGCTTATTGGTCAGCACTATGTAGTATTGATCTATCTCTGAATGAATTGGTATCAGCATAATTACAATAAGTGTAGAATATATAAAAAAAAGGGAGTGCACAATATTGTCAAGTTAGGCACTCTCACCCTCTTCTTTTGCTTTTAGTTTTTGCTCCTGTATTATTTTCATGACATGAGTCAGTGACGTTGCATTTGCATTTACATGTCGTTAATTGCTGTTTCGAACTGGACGTCGGGCCCGGCTCCTGCCCAGTTTAACCTGTCCCGAAGCACATAATTGCGTTGGCCGTGCGACCCTTTAAGTAGTGTTTCTTTCTTTATGTGTGTGTGTTGCTACGATTATTTCGCTACATATGTATGTATACAGTTACGTGCTTGCTTTGCATACTTTTAAATGTTTTTTGGGCCATGCTTTCATTCGATTGTTCTCAATGGATTTTGCTTTCCTTGAGCACTGACAGCCAACCCATTTGACTTACTTTATGACCTGCTTGCTTTATTGAGCTTTAAATAAGTATTAGTGAAATTGTAATGTCAAAGGTTTACAGAGTTGGTTAATTAATGCTTGCCTGACTGAATTATGCTTAATTATTGCTTAGATAGTAAGTTAATCACATCAAGTGCCTTCAAGAAGGACTTCATTATAAGTTTTAGGCTTAGCTTGGAATTCGATTAGACTTATGCTTAGCAGTCAGATGAATACTTTAAGAGAATCTATATAAATTAAAAATTTGTTAAATCTCAACTGGTGCTCTATAGTTCCGTATGACCGAACTTATCATATAATCGCTCACAGAGTGCCGACAGAGCCTGGGATACCTCCAATCGATATTCGTCTTGGCTGTGCGCGAATCTGTTACGCACCGTTAGCAGCGCATGCCGCAAAGTAGGACTTTGGGACCAGAGGGGCTTGCAGAGACTTTCGGTGGTCTGTAGTGCATCTATAAATTGCTCGACCACGTCTGCTTGATCCAGCAAATGTACATAATCCGTGCTGAGAACTGCTTCTAGGGCAGCACAGTAGCCGTTCGACTGCAGCCACGACTCAAACTCGAGTAGCACATATTGCGCCAAGGCTTCTTCTTTGCCTTCGTCGAGGACATGTCTTTTCTCTAGTACTAAATCGCCAATTAAGGTTACTACCTTGGCCTTATTACGAAGCTCTGTGTCAGCACTGCGCAGCACGCCAATCAAAGCCTGTGTTCCCGAGGTGGAGAGTACACGGTGCTGAGCCAAAGGGAACTTACGCAACAGAGCGCCGAACGCATGCAGAGCCGTCGAGATTTCGGCGCTGTTAGTCGAGCTCATCATGATTTGTGCCAGATGAGAGCCGAAGTTGCGCTCAAAGACCTTGATCTGTGCCTTGGGATTATTCCCCGCCAGAGCGCCCAGCACTCGCATTGCAGAAACTTTGAGTGCTGTGTTCGTATCATTCACCACTATTGGGAGTAGAACATCGTCCAGTCCGCCACTGTCGATAAAAACTAGTGCGTTGTCAATCTGATGCAGCATATATCCTAGATTCTCTAATGTATTCAACTTGGGCTTCAGCTCTTTGTCAAGCGGCGTTCTGCTGAAGTTTCGATATTCTTCTATCAGCTGCACGATCACTTCGGCATCGGTGCGAAAGTTCTTTTGAAAATCCTTATAGGCTTTCCGCAACTCTGCATAGCTGCGCTGTTCCTTTACCTTACGCACCGACTCCTCAATGAGGTCTGCTTTATATTCAATGGATAAGCGGTCATCTGTCGACACAGATCCTGATTCGCTGTCGCTGGATTGTGACTGCAATGCAGTATCACGTTCACTTGGGTCCAGTAACTTCGCTTCCTTAAGGCCTGTTTGCAGATTTATGCGAACATGTAGCCCCTTTGGTATGGCCTGACCTAAAAGAAAAGTTATGCTAATATAACATGACCCGTAACTGATTGGTACACGTAATAAAAACCTTCGGCTATGACTTGCCATTCAGCAGTGGCAACAAATTCGGCGGTTTTGTTTACACTTGCAGATGCCGATACCTGCAGACAGACGAGCATCGAAACAACAGCCAACCTTGTGGTTAATGTACAGGACATATGCATCATAATTGCTTTTAATGTACTGTATTCTTATCTATAATCCACACTCTATTGTGCGGTTATTCCTTTTTTATAATACGTTGACAATGCGTCAGTGATGTACAGAGAACTGCTTAACGTTGACTTATCGATAGAATAGCCATCGATAATTGGAATGATTTCCATTTAACAGTCTGGCTACACTATATTCTTAATCTGAAAGTCTGGTCAGGCTATATATGCAGTATATTATTGGTATCATTGCAGTATCAGTGGTATAACAGAAATGAAATTCAAATAATATGATTTGCAAATTATTATTTTTCAATGCGACTTCAGTTGCGGCTTATTCATATATACATTATACCATTAAATTACCAACTTATTCTTAGTGACAGCTTCAAATTGAAAATCAAAAGCTCAATGGAAAATTGTCTCATGTAAAAGTGTAAATTGTATTTAAACTGGTTTTGAAATAAACTCATTTGTCGTACTTAACGAGCTTATGTTATTAATATGAATAGCTGGTTTAACATTATAAACCTATTCAAATATATTCATTTGTCGAACGTCAATATCAATATAACACGCGCGACTTTACATAAATGATGTGGCAATTTTTTGTATTTTCTTTCGTTTTGTGTTGTTTATAATTGAACATTTTTATTTATTTTTTTAATGTCGAATGTAAGCTACGAAAGCGTCTGAGAATTTGTATACTAGTCAACAAAACCCTAATAGTATATATATATATATATATATATATATATATATATATATATATACATATGGACATCTGTATTTGGATTTGTATATATTATCAAATATTAAGGCGTATGGCACTGGCGTCAATTGAATGTGTAAATAAACATATTGCAGCGCTTCTATTCACATACTTTTCTTACGCGTTAATGACGTAAAAAGAGTATATACAAGAACACTATAATCAGACAACAAAGTTTTAGACCTAGAGCTTGTAGAGCTTCAAAGAGGGCTATATAGTTTAAATACTCTACTATACAATTTCGAAATATTTATAATAAATGTAATTAATTACAACCATATATATGTGTATATATATTCATCTTATGTACGTGCAGTGTGTAACATGTGCATCTAATTAAAAAAAAAAAAAAAAAAAAAAAAAAATCTATGTCTTCCTATTTTATGTACAAAAATGTATATATTCTCCAGTGCATTTTTTCAGTGTTGGAAGTAGAGTTCGATTTTTAAGAACAGCTTGGTTATTAATATTGACAGACATTTATTTATTTAAGCTTAAGGTCTCCATAAATTTTAACAATGTTCGATCTGTGAACGGGTATTCTTCAGTCGGTCACGCCCAGCATTTCTTTATACTCATTCACGAAAGTGAAATGAGTTTATTGGTTTTGTACAATGTTCGTCTTATCCGGCCGTCTGTCCGTATGAACGCCATTTTTTTCGGTACTATTGAACCTAGAGACTTGAAATTCGGGGCGTGGCAAACCGAAAAGTTCATATCTCCTATAGTATAATAGCTAGAAGCTTCAAATTTGGATAGTTAACTTACCAGTAACTTCCTCTATCGATCCCAAAATAATATTGTTACACCACTTTAGGGGCGTGGCATATAAAAAATACCCTATAATTTTTGCAGCTAGTTTACGTTAGCTTATTCCATGAGGTAGCCAAAAATGAAGTGCCTACGCCCAGTAAGAGCGTGGCAAATCGAGAAAAGCTTAACTTTCTACAGTATTAAAGCTAAATTTGGCTATTAAATTGCTTATGAGGTGTGAATGAGTATTCCGCAGTCTGTAATGTCCGACTGCAACGTTCTTACTTGTTAATTATTATTATTATAAAGGTGGCTTCTCTTCAGGTAGATAATATGCAAACTATTGATGACGAATGCTTCAAAATTTCGGTAATATATGCTATATTTACACGACGCATGCCTTTCATGCCTTAAAAGTGAAGCCATTAACTTCACAGGTTGTCTGACTATCTTTTTTGGTATACCCTAAATTTACTAAATAATTTTCAAAAGGGTTTGAAATTGTTGTTAAAATTTATGCAGAAGAAGGCGTGGTTAATAGACGACTGGATACATGTATATATTGAGATATATTAGTTCTTAGTTCTACTTTGTTTGAAATCAATAATAACATTTTTTTCTAGTATGTTTTTATTCAGGGTATCTTCTGTTCAGAAACTCTCAATTTAAAAATAAACCAAAATTTATTTTTTATTTATTTATTTTTGTTTATTTTCAATGTTTGGCAAATTGGCAAACCAGTCTGACACTCGCTATATCGTTCATGATTATAGTTATTTCTAATTGTTGTGCTACGCGAGTTTCTAAATAGATCTTGTATCTGATGCGGTTATCACCCGAAACGGAAATTCCTCAACCTGTCTGCGCATTGTGTATTCGCTTGTGTTAAATAGCTAATCACCTTGAGCTGTTACGAACATACGCTTGTTTTGTTTGGCGTCTGCACAGTTAGGGGTTTGCAGATGATTTCGGTGATTAACTCATTAGTTGCTGGCAAATGAATAGATTCTTCAGTTAGTTCCATTTAACGACCTCAGCGAAACTGGAATTAACTAAATCAAAGTTGCATGATCTCAGTTTATAATGACTATGAGTATGAGTACGAGTATTTAACATGCATGTCTGATCATTTAACACTCGCTAAATTTCGCATGAAAATCTGTACAAAAGTCTCTAATCGAACCTCTTTGCAAACTGCATACGTATATGTGTGTAGCTGATGTCAACGCAAATATAAAATGAATATTATACCTATCTATACATATCTAAATATTTATCTATATTAGATTTATTGTTATTTCTGTTTTGTGCTTTGCCAACAATGCGAAAGGCAGACAATAAAATTGACATTTATAGATCTTCATACAAAAAGCGCATTAAAGAGAATGTGTTATAATATGGTACATGGTATATGTATGTGATATAGCAAGCAACAATATCGATGCAATGATGAAACACGATATATCCTAAGTCAATGTAAAAGTTAGATAAAAATATATAT